GGCTAAGGCAGGAAGATTGCCATGAGTTCAAGGTCAGCCTGGGCTTCATGGTGAGTTCAAGTCCATCCTGAAATACACAATAAGACCTCGTCTTTAAAAAAAAAAAAAAAGCCAATCTGTCCCTTTTTTTTTTTTTTTTTTTTTTTTTTTGAGACAGGGTGTCCCTGTGAAATCCAAGCTGGTCTCAAACTGTGGACCCTCCTGCCTCAGCCTGAGCCGTGGTAAGACTATAGAGTCCAACCACCAGACCTGACAGTTGGACCTCTTGAATCCATATCTGTCACCTAAATTTTAAAATTTCTCTGCCATTATCTCTTCAAATACCAGTTTTAATTATTTTTGGATTCCAAATAAAAATGTCACACTTTCTCCCAGTGCTCTGTTTCCCTCACCCTCCCTTTTCGTCCCTTTTCACCCATGTTCTGGTCCAGGTGGTTTCTTCCACCCTTACTTCCAGTTCACTACCGGCTCCTCAGTCCAGTCTAATCCGTTGTTAAACATACCGATTGGGCCTTAACTTTTGTTTTTAAGTATCTGGGGACTAGATTTTCTGTGTATGCCTGGTTTATCCTTCTCCCGGCCCCCTTTTTTGTTTTTTGGTTTGTTGTTGTTGTTGGTGGTGGTGGTGGTGGTGGTGGCTTGTTTTTTTTTTTTGAGACAGGGGCTAGCTGTGCAGTTCAGGCTGGCCTTGGTGTTGCAAGGATCCACCTCCCTCAGCCTGGGATTATAGATAGCAGTGTGCAGCACCCCACCTGTGGAGAACCTAATCCAAACCAGGAAGGTGGTCTGTTGGGGTTCCTACCTTGGGGGACACTGGACTTCAATTTTTGTCTCACTAACCCAACTATTTCTGCCACAACTTGTGCATCAGCAAATGACCTCAGGGTAAACTCCCCCCTGTGTTTCCTGTCCTTGACTGTTCCCAGGTGAATTCTTCACTACCTGATCAGCTCTTCGACTTCTTAAAAATTTTTAAATTTTTATTTATTTATTTATTTATTTATTTATTTATTTATTTATTTATTTTTAGCTTACTTGGGGCTAGAAATCAAGGCTTTGGGGCCAGGGATATAGCTCAGTGGCACAGCACCTGCCTGACAGCAAGCATGAGGTCGTGAGTTCGACACCCAGCACCAAAAAATTAAAAAATAAATAAACAAATTGGGGCTTTGCACACGATAGGCAAGTGCTCTAGCACTGAGCTACATCCCTACCCCTGCCATCACACCCAGCTCCGTTGTGTGTTAACACATTTTCCTTATCCATTCTGCTATTGATGGACACATAGGCTGCTTCCAGAATTTAGCTATAACTATTCACACTGCTATAAGCATGGGTATGCAGGTATCGCTGTAATGTGATACTGTGACATCGTTAACACTTTCAGAGGAAGATACCTGGAAGGGAACTGTCTCAGTGAAATGGAATGTCTAGTTTAAACTTTTTGAAAAATCTCCAGAACTGATTTACGTAGCAATAGTATTAGTTTACATTCCCATCAGCAATGTAGAAGAGTTCCTTCCCCCCACCAAAGCCTCACCAGAATTTTTTATTATTTGATTTCTTGATGACAGCCATTCTTTCTGGAGTAAGATGGAATCTCAGTGTTATTTTTAATTTACGTTTTTCTAATGACCAGCAATATTAAGCATTTCTTCATGTATTCATTGGCCATTTGTATTCTTCTGCCGTGAAGTGTCTATTCATTTCACTTGTCTATGTTTTGATCGGGCCTTTTACTTTGGGGATTTAATTTTTTCTGTTCTCTCTCTCTTTTTTTTTTTTTGGTTTTGGTTTTTGTCTCT